CTCTCTCAAATATAGCTCTCTTTTACGTATGATTAGCAGTTCGATTTTTTTTTTTCTTTTTTTTCGAGACGATTTCACGGATCTTCTAACTGATGGACAGTCTCGAAGTCTTTTAGAAGCTACGTTATTCTATTCTTATTTTTTTTAGATATACACTTTCGTGGAGATATCTGCACGAGTAATTCAAAATCTCTCGATTTCTCTATCCAATGTTTAGTTTTAGGAATGGAATTCTTTTTAAATAATAATCGTCGAGATTCTTCGGTTAGTTTCTTTTTTTTCGATTTTTTTTTTTTTAATTTGAAAAAATACTAGTTTCTCGATATATATATATATATAGAGAGAGAGAGAGCGAGATCGATCGAGGTATCTCTAATTGCTTCCATCAGAATCGTCAGGCACGAGTGTTTTTCCGATTTGCCAGGGTATATCTACTCTACATATATCTATTCTTCCACCGATTTCTATTTCACCGATCATGTTCAACGTCAATGACTCGTATATTTCGCCGATACGGAGAGAAAACGATTCGTTATACAATCTATGAAACGCGATGAGTTTTCAAACGAGTAACCGTGTGTGTTCTCTGAAAATATTTTTCAAATCAGTTTTTTCCCAATCTCTCTCGAGTCCCAATCCTTTCTACGATATTCAAATAACTTTGAGAGAAAAGGTCCGTGCAAGATGAGAAAAATTAGAAAAAAGAGTTAAATGGATCTTTTATTTATCATTTGATCCTCTTTCTAATTTTCCTTTTAGTTTCACTTTCTGGTTATAAATTATCGAACGAGATAATTACAAAGAAATCTCTAATTTTATCGTACAACGAGTTTGTTGCAAGTGAAAAGAATTTATTTTTCAAAATTCCTTTCCTCCTCCTCCTCCTCCTCCTCCTCGAGAATCTTGAAACGTGAATCAGAAGTGAAAATTTTATTTTGATATATCTGTGATAAAAAAAGCGTTCAAAATTGTAAACTCTACTCGAGGAATATATTTATCGCAACACATCTTATAATTTTGCCAAATGGATCTTCCTTTCCTCCAATTTCTGTACAAATAGCAGTCACTCTTCAACTTCAAAGAGTTGATAACAGATTCTTCTCCCAATCCTCAGATTACCTACGGAGTTTAAGTAGATTAGCCCCGATTAATCCTTGGATTAAACCTACACGTTAAATAGCGAAAGGATCTCCCTAATGTTCCTACAACGATGCAATAATAAAACTCGTTTAAACTCTCCTTTAAAAGAGACGAGAAATTTTAAACAAAAATCATCATTTTCCTTTCATTTCAATAAATATCCACAACATCGGTACTCGAACGACATTCGTGCTTGATTGAACGCGTCATTGGTATGAAATCGAGAGAGGGGAGGGGAAAAGAAGAAACGTTCGTTTCAAAAATCGATCGCGGACACGCTTCTCGTTCGAACGTTTCCCGCGGCACGCACGCACCACAGGTTTCGAGCCCTTTCTTCTCGTTCGCTCAATTTAATTCCACGAATCGTAATTCGTAGAACTAACCATTTCTTTGTCAGAGTCATTCTTGAACGGTCCATGAATTTCAGCAACCGATCGAAATTATTTATTTGATTTCTGTAAACGGAATTGAAATCAACGTACAATTTTTTTTTTTTTTGGAATAATTGCAACAACTGATATTCAAGATTGATATTTAAGCGGTAATGGTCATTCGTGGCACAGAGGGTGACTTTTTCTGATGAAAATTGTAAAAAATTGGAAAGAAATATGTGTATATATATTTTCGTTTGAGGTTTTGTTTTCGAGCGAGTCATGTTTGAAAATTTTATCAAGTGCAAGTGAAATTGGTTATTGACTCCGATTCCCGATTGAATAAACGAATAAACTATCGACAGGAGGTTATTTCTGTGCGAATGAAAATAAACGAAAAGAAGCGAAGAATAAATTTTTTTTTTTTCCCATTTGAAAATTAATTTTCGGAGAAAATCGAATTCGAAAAATTTGATCGATTATATATTTTTGCCGACATTTGATGTTTCATTCTATATTTTTCCAATTACGAGTCAATAACCAGAGTCAAGTAATTGTTGTGTTTGAAAAAATTGTCAAATTTAACGAAAACAAAATCTCAGATAAACGAATTTTTAACATTTGTCACGTCGTAAACAATGAAATGTTTCACGAGAAATTCCAAGAAATTATATTGATTATTGCGGCATTGATAATCTTTCTACTTATGTTCTTCAACTTAATAGATGTAATGGCAATCATTTCTTACGAGAAAATTACAATTTCTCATCAATAAGAAACAGAATTCCTTATATTGTTGCAATAAAAAAACCGCACAAATTCCAAAAAAATATAATCTTCACACGAATATTTTAATTAATCAGAGAGAAAAACTATTAATATAACTCCTCCTATATATCCACCATATAACACGCATCTTTTGCAAAAAAAACATTTTTAACCTCAATTCCCCCACGAGGAAGTATCTCTGGTTCAAACGCAACGTCAAATTATCATAATGATATCGTATCGCATTCCGTTTCTTCCTACGCTCCGCCAATACCCCGCGAAATTGATTAAATTACGATTGAATTTTACTTTAAAACACTTTAGTATCCTATTTAATTTCGAACCAAAAAAAAAAAAAAGAAAAATCCGTTTACCATTAATATAATTAAACCCAATAATATTATAATTTCAAATCAATCGAGTCACCTCCCCTTCGAGTGGCAAGCCTCTCGATCTCGATCGACGCAATACACACGCGCGCGCACACGCACGCGAAAATTCGGAGCGCGCCGAGGACGACCGTAGCCGAGGACGTCCGCCGTACGACTGAAGCGCGGCCCAATATTCGCCGATACTGCATGTGCACGTTTCCCCGTATTTGCAAGCAGGCTGGTATCGGGTGCAGCTGGCCGCCATCTCCTCATCACCCCCGCCCAATCGCAACCCGCCAACCTCTCCCCTCCTCCCGCCAAACTATTCGATTCTCGCGATAACAATAATGCATTCTTGTTGCGGAGAAGGGTCGACTTTTTACCGGGTGTTGAGGATTGATAAGAATTTTCTGGCCAATCAGAAGGAGGTATTTGTGGTAATAGTCGTTGTTTAGGTCATTCTTTCTCGCGTTTTAAGATTGCGAGGAATCGAATATGTATACATGTCGAAATTTCGACGCATCGTTGATTTTAATGAATTCACTTCTTCTTGGACATTCTTCGAGAGTAGAAAATACTGTACTTTTCTGCGAATATAAACACTCTTGTCTTCGAGATAGATAGGATTATTCTCCTTGATGCCGATCTGTTTCGTGTATTTCGTTGACAATCGAAATTATTATACAGCATCACGTTCTTCCTTGTTTTCTTTTAAAAATTGGTGGCAGATGAATATATTCGTTTCTCGATAGGTGTATATAATCCTTGCCAGTAATGAGATTTGGCCGTGAGCAACGTGTACCAATACCAATCGATGGCAAGTTTAGCATATACTAATCGACAGCGGAATATTCATGTCCTGATTATAATTCTCTTTCTAATTCTGTCGTGATAATTAAGGTTCGAATCGAGACGTTTATTATATTCTTCATTCGTTTTATATTCAACGATCGTATCGTATCGTAATGAAAAAAAGAAAATCAAATCTTCTTCTTCTTCGCGATCGAACTGGTTATTTGCGACATTCCTGTATCTCCGATATTCGAAGATAAAACGAATCAAATTTATCTTACCTGCGATTTTAATAAAAAACGATTGTATCTAAAATTATTCCCGTGACTCGAGACTAGAAACAACACCGTCAAAATGTAACGTTTTTCGTGACAAAGTAACGAAATTTATCCCAGCCATCGTATTTAACACTTTTCCAAGCAATTGGCAATCAGCTCTCTTTCTATTTCACATTACGTGCATAGCTGTCCCCGAGTTGGCTAATAACAAGACAATCGAGCAGGAAAATGGAGGAGGAAGGTTGGTTTTAAGTGTTGAGAGGATAATAGAAAAGAGAAACAGTTCCCGGCTAATTGGATCGTCGAGGAGGGGATCCTTTATTTGCAGAGCTAGAAACGCTCTTGTCAATTTCTCTCGTTAATCCGTCGACGGATACACCCTTTCCTCGATCCATTTCTCCAATACTTTCGAGATTATTATCCGATAATAATAATTTTCATAAATCAACCAAGATCTTTCAAATGAATAAAATTCTTCTCAATTACTTTGAATCCGAAATTTTAAACAATTTTAACAATTTTCTCCTTCGATAAATTATTGCGCAAAAAAATTCCAAAAAATTTCTGCCATCCATTCAACGTGTCCTGAAAAGGATACATTAATCTCGTTTCGATACAAACGTATAAATAGATATATATATATATACACACATATCTATTTAATAGTTCGGGGATGCAAAGAGATGATATCGTGAAAGCAACCTCTGTATTCGCATGCACGGTTAAATATGGGTATACACAAATATATACCCACTTACATGTTACACGGATACTTGCATAAGTCATTCGATTCGTACAAGTGTGGTGTGCGACCAAGGAATTGTCGAGATGGGATTTTTCATTTTCCCCTGTCAAAGAAGCGCGCATTCTATGTAAATGAGCGAATGCGCCACTACTCGCGCACGAAAAGGTGAAATACAGCCAAACTTTTCGAGATTTCAAGCATTCCTTCGAGTATATATACACACCACCGAGTCGAAAACGGGGCGCATTCTATGCAAATGAACGAATGTACTGACGCGACGACAACGACTTCACCTGAAAGGTTAAAAAAAAAAAAAAGCCCAACTTTTCCAGATTTAAAACGTATTTTTTTTCCTCTTCCTAAAATTTCACTCCGTACGCCTTTTGAAAAAAAAAGAAGAACAGAAAAAAAAAAACTTTCGAACTCTGCTTCGATTTTCGACGGTCAAATTATCAAGTGGATTACCAATTTCCTAATTAATTAAAGTTGGGATTGAAGGAGGGAGTTGGCCTGCACTCTCCCCGTAATCTCAAGT